TCAATGCATTCAGATGCTTCATTACTGCTACTTCACTGATATGTCGTTGATGTGTTACTGATATTCTGTTAAGAGTTTATTAATCATCTACAAAGGACCACTCAGAATAGTGTAACCGCAGTTCATTATGAGCTTTGATGTGGAGGAGTCACTCACTCTTATTGATATTATTCATCTGTAGATACACACTGCTCGTACAATTCAGTACCCTGCTGTGTCTCCGCTCGGTGTGAGGCGCATAGATACGGAGAAAAGAAAAGGCCACTTAGTTTCTTCATCTGTGTTTACAGTCTGCAGTGGCACAAATCCAGTGTGAATCAATCACAGCTCAATCAAAACATGTCCTCGGATTCTTATTTGAAGCTGCTGATGAAGGTTTCTCAAGAAAGAGACAACGGAGTGCACAGGGTACATGTTTCTAATAAAGTGTCCAATGAATGGAAGTGAAAGGTAGGCGTTTCTAATAAAGTCACCAGTGAGTGGAAGCACAAGGTAGGTGTTTCTTATAAAGTGGCCAGTGAGTGGACGTACAAGGTGGATGTTTCCACTAAAGTGGACACTGGGCCCAAAGTTCTGAACCTTTTGTGTTAATTTCAGACAAAGATCTGACTCAGTTTCTCTTCACGTTCTGTTAAAAAAAAAAAACGCACAAGCTTAAATGTGCAGTTTTTGGACTGCACACATGAAGAACCACAAAATATGCTACATACATACAAGTGTATGGAAAAGTTAGTGCACCCCTGGTCAAATTCCATGTTGTTGTTGATTTGTTAATTTATTAATGCTTAGAAAATCAACAACATGTCAAACTTTTGCACGTGATTTTACGTCTGGCCCGGTCGGGTTTTGCTGTTTGGTGTTCATTAACTTAAAAAGTGAGTAGCTGGACTTCCTTAAAATTAAGGTTAACAGAAGTTCTAATATTAATTTAGTAGAACAAGAACATCTGTCTTATGTGCTTTTGACTTATTTTAAATGTAACAAGCTCAGCATTTTAATGCAGCTGGTTGTGAAGTTTAAGCTGAAACACCATGTCTTTGCCGGTGCAGTGTGTCTGCAGCGTGTAGCTGATCTTACCCAGGATGGTGACGATGCAGAGGAGGATGGCGATGAGGGCACTGATGCTGACCCCGGTGTGGGCGTAGCCTATAGAATTTGGTTTTTGGGCTCCACATGGCCCCATTCGGATGTTTAACGGGTTGATGCTCTTCTGAACCGGCGAACCTCCGTCTGAGATTTCAATCTCCAGAATGTTTTCTTCCACGGTGTCCTCAAGGTTTTGAGTCAACACGATGGTGGCAGTGTTGTCTGCAGACATGTCAGAGAAACACAGTCAGCTGTGTTTATTTATTTATTTATTTATTTGGGTAAATATGCCACTTTTTAGGCAACTGTCTGATGCCCCACCCCTGCTGCCTGACATTAAACACCTCAAATCAATGACAACATTTAAATGTGGACAACAGCGAATAAAGAACAGCAAATAAAAAACAGAGATTCATTCCCAAAGAGAACATACAGACGTTACAGTTTGGAATCAGTGTTTTCAACAATATTAAACCAGTTCTGTTTGTAGTTCTACAGTTACAGACTGTAGTCCATCTGTTTCTCTGCATACTTTGTTAGCCCCCTTTTATCTGTTCTTCAGTGGTCAGGACCCCCATGGCCCCCCCAGAGCAGGTACTATTTGGGTGGTGGGTCATTCTCAGCACTGCAGTAACACTGATGTGGTGGTGGTGTGTTAGTGTGTGTTGTGCTGGTCTGAGTGGATCAGACACAGCAGTGCTGCTGGAGTTTTTAAACACTGTCCACTCACTGTCCACTCTATTAGACACTCCTACCTTGTCAGTCCACCTTGTAGATGTAAAGTCAGAGACGATAGCTCATCTGCTGCTGCAGTTTGTGTTGGTCATCCTCTAGTCCTTCATCAGTGGTCATAGGATGCTGCCCACAGGACGCTGTTGTCTGGATGTTTTTGGTTGGTGGACTATTCTCAGTCCAGCAGTGACACTGAGGTGTTTAAAAACTCCAGCAGCACTGCTGTGTCTGATCCGCTTGCATCTCTGTGACTTTGCCCCCTTTGGACTCTGTTTGCCTGGTTATGTTTGTGTGGTTGTACTTTCCGTCTTTTTTGGGTTTGACCTTTGCCTGTTGTTTGACTATGATTTTGGATCACAATTCAACTAGTAAAGTCTTTTTCTCTTTTTTCATCTGCGACTGTCTGAATCATTCTGGCACGTTACAGCTCCTGAATACGCCAGAAATAAGCCGTCATCAGGTCACTTTGGAACAGGGATGTTAAACTCAACCACTAAAAGGCCCATATTAAAAAAAATCAACAAATCTGTGGGCCAGAGAAAAAAAAATGTTTTTTTTAATTTTTAATTAATGCTATAATCCTAACTGGCCATTGTTTATTCAAAGTACGTAAAAACGTCAGCAGTTAAGTATAGGTACTTGTAGTCGACCTTGAAATACTACATAAATACTTGAAATATTCAAAGTTTAAATGTCCTCAGGAGCTCAGTCTTTTAAACCTGCCTATCTGCTTGAACTAAACACCTGGCATCTTTTCTTTGTTGCAAGTTCATTAATATTTGTGCTAAATTTCTGAGCTGCTGAGCTGACGTTGGGTGTTTATGTTGGTTGAACTGCAGTTGAAGTGCGGCTAGTGTGTTTGATGACATGACGGGTGTGGAATTGCATAGAATTGAGGTGTTACTGTCCCATAGACTGTTGTTGGGGTAGGAGAGTCAGAGTGCACATTACGTTGCAGTGCATGCTGGGGACTGAAGTGCAGCACTTTGTGAACCAACAGTGTTCCAGTATATCAGACTTAGCATGTTTGTAGCTTTGTGGCTAATGTACCAATGCACACCAATAAGCATCATGCTAACTGCTGAAAAAAAGTCTAACTCTTAGAAAACCTACAGTTATTGTTTTGCTATGCATTTGATTAAGTATTAATAAAACATACTTAGCAATTGGGTCTGGTAAGTGATTCATTTCACATCTGGTCAAAATAACTAGTATTTCTCATTATTGATATTGAGAATATTACGTGATTTTCAAGCTATTTCTTGATATTGTTGGCTGTTGTAGGTAAATGTATGTGTTGTAATGATCTTATTCTCTCACTTATTCTATGCTGATCTCTATGTAATTTGAAAGCGCCATCTGTCCTTGGCGCTATGTCTCATTTGTTTAGCTTATACATATTTAAAGAGGTCTGTCAGTGTTTTAGGAATTTAACTGAAAATGTTCCTCACTTAGGTTGTCATGGAGGGAGAATATGGAGCTCCTATTTGCCAGAATGAACCGGAACGGTCCAGGGTTTTCGTCCCTGTCGGTGGCCCCGATTGTTCCAATGATCTGCGAAGTAAAGAAACAAATTTGATTTAAAATTGTTTATAAAATTATAGCTCAGCATAAATTTGCCATTACCACAAATGTAGTCGATCAGCGAAGTTTTACAACATACTGTTCACTCACCAGTCCATACAGACCACATATGGAAACTAAGTTATCTGTTTTTCAATTCATTGTTTTTGTGATGTCACATAAGTGAACTCATTTACATTTATAAAGAGAGGATGGACAATAGTCATGAAAAATGTAATAATTTAGAACAAATGACACAAATTTTATGAAGAGACGTCAGAAGTAAAAAGTAAAATGCAACAAAAACATAGATTATCATATATCAGTCGTACAGGACGATTTTATAGATAACAGAAGCAGAAACTTCAGACACTAAACGTGTTTATTAAGTGACCACATTGGTGGTAAAAGGAAGAATCATGTAAAGTTTTGGATAAATAATGAAATTTTCATGAATTCCTCACCGTTCCTTTTTTAGCGTTATCAGAGATGAACATGTTGCTCGCGACCAGTTTGGGCTGATTGTCGTTGATGTCCAGAACCTTTATCTTGACAATCGTGGACTCTTTTAGTCCTGTAGATACAAAGAAGATGATTTTTACAGCAGATAGAGATACAGATGTTTGTGATTCTACAGTTTATAATATGGAAACACCAAAATAGTGTATCAGCCCTTTAATCAGCTGTGTCTTATAGATTTGTACGAATAACTGACTCTCAATGTAGGTATTGTGATATAAACTGAGTCTGTTCTACAGTTTCTCATTAGGTTGAATGAATAACTGACTCTAAATGTAGGTATTGTGATATAAACTGAGTCTGTTCTACAGTTTCTCATTAGGTTGAATGAATAACTGACTCTAAATGTAGGTATTGTGATATAAACTGAGTATGTTCTACAGTTTCTCATTAGGTTGAATGAATAACTGACTCTAAATGTAGGTATTGTGATATAAACTGAGTCTGTTCTACAGTTTCTCATTAGGCTGAATGAATAACTGACTCTAAATGTAGGTATTGTGATATAAACTGAGTCTGTTCTACAGTTTCTCTTTAGGTTGAATGAATAACCGACTCTAAATGTAGCTACTGTGACAAAAAGAAAAACAGGGCAATATGGCCCCTCTACCTGGGATAAGAAGGATCGATGTTGCATAGTGTCTGTCAAATAATTTCTAGTCTTTGCATTTAAAAACTGTCATAAATCAAATAGCAACACTAAAAATATAGTATTTATTATAGTTTTTTAGAAAATGTTATAAAATGTTTTTAAATATATTTTAAAATGAAGTTGACGTCTCAGTTCACTGTACAGTTCATGTGTAAAATCTAAAGTTTTTACATTGAGTGAGTAACATCATAAATTTACAAAAAAGCAAACATACTGCTCTCTTAGCACCTCCCCCTTTTCCCATATATTCTGTGTATTTTTCTTATGTTAGTATGAACGCATTGGTCACTGTTATTCAAAGACAACTGACCTCAAAAAGTTACAGAATAAAGAATAAATCTGAATTTCCAGAATGAATTAGACCATAATCCCTCAGTAAATGTGTCGAGATTAGATGAGGCTCCATTATTTATCAGGAGGGTAAATAAGTGTTGGGAGAACATCTCACCTACACCGCTTGGAGATATTTCCTGTGCTGTGACATCACACAGGTGTGTGGCCTCTGTTTCTCGGTCCAGTTCTTCCTTCAGGGCGAGCTGACCTGTATTCTCGTCTATTTCCAGTGGACAGTTGTGCCCCCTGATGGAGTACCTGATAAAAGACCATCTCCATGTTAAATATGATAACAACTCATTCAGCATCAAACACCCAGTTTTCCAAATATAGTTTATCAGTCAAAACGTGTTCAGTGTCTGAAGTTTCTTCTTTAGTTTTAACACTGGAGCTATGAGGCTAATGTAGCTAACAAGTAATAAAAACATGTAGCCACCTATTAGCATGGTGCTAACTCATCACCATGTCTAAATCATCTCTCGCTTCAAAGCGTGTGATGTTCAGTAATGTTGATTATGTAGTTTCTGACACTGTATGACTCACTGTTATCTATAAACTCGGTCTAAGGTTTGGACAGAATACTGATTTTAAGCTGCTCCTTCTGTTTTTAGCTGTATGATGTCATTTCGGGTTGTATAGACTAATAAGTCAACTAACAAGTCCACTTGTTGGTGCTGTGGGAAAGGCAATCGAATAGTCGAGGAGGTCTTAGTAATGAAATACAGCGACAGAAAACAAACAAACAAACAGCAGCAGTGAACAGGCAGGAGGCGACTCCACTCAGCTTTTCTGATAAACCCAGAACCCAAAGCACTTAACTAGTGTGGAAATGCTACACAAGCTGAAGCCAATTCCACTTGGAACTGTTGTAAAAGTCGCTCATGTGATTTTAAGTCATAATTTCTTATTAAAGGGTTGAATTACATTCAATAGTTCAAAACATTTACGTCACTTTCCTTAATAATTTAATTATTATGCAGTTAAAATATGGGTGTATCTAAGCCTAAACCTGTATGTGCTATAAACATCTGGCCTGTGGTTTTATGAACTTAGGATAATTAAGGTTACTAGTTAGTATTGTTGGTATTTTTGTTGTGGCTAATTATGCAGACTGTATGATATACAGTATAAAATTAGTGGTAACACTTTACTGTAGGGTGTTCATCAGACTACATAATGTCATGATGACTGAAATGAACCTACATAAACGTTCATAAAGGCTTATTCCAGTGAACGGCAGCTGCCATAAAGGCTGATTTTGTCAACTCTGAGGTCAAGCTGATATAACACCTGTGTCAGCTGACTTTTTTTCTGACATTGGGTCATCATCACACTTTTTTGGGTGAAATGATATAGCGCATTATAACAACTGACACTGTAGCTCAGTTTATATCACACTGACACAGTGCTGATTTTGTGACACAGCTTAAATTTTATAGGTGGTCAAATTCACTCTCTCCTCATTTTTAGTGTTTATAATTTTACTTTTGGGGTCTAGAATAGATAATAGATCACTTCAAATGTTCCAAAAAAAAAAAAAATCCTCCTACTGTTCATCTCTATTCACCCTCTGTCTGAAACACTGTTAGAGCTCTTGTGTCTTTAAGCTCCGCCTCCTGATCAGCACAATGTGCTCTGATTGGTCAGCTTGCCCACTCTATTCTGACTGATCAACCACCAGAGCGGCATCCTGCTACAAGCTCCGCCCCCACACCGCTGCGTCTGTTCTTATAACGGCGTCAGTTGTGCTGTATCAGTTTGATCCAGAGTCGATCCTGAAAGTCCAGTAAAACAAGCTGGTGGAGCCAATCCACCTTCGCGAGCTGGACTGGAGCAGGACGTTTCAGAGCGGGAAGCTTTTACTCTGTAGGTCTCTGTGTGAGGGCGAGCCGAGCTCGCCGGTAGGCGGGCAGTAAGGACTGTGATTGCGAGATTGAATCATCCTGTAACAAAGGAAAAGGGCTGGAATTCAAAACAAGGCATTTCAGGCAGCTGAGAAAAGTGGGAGAGAGTTTCTCCCTCTGGAGGGAACACTGAGCTTTGGGACATTTACGTGCACAAAAACACTCTTACAAAGGCAAGAGAAAAACCAGAATAGGTCCACTTTAAGGGCTTCAGTTCAACCAGCCTGTTGTGGTAAACTACATCATATTATCAGCATTATGTCACTGTGATGTTCACTGAGATACAAAGTCTGATTTCACCTCAGAAAGTGTCATAGCACAATCTGATGTCAGAAAGCAACCGAGGTTATGTCAGCTTGACATAAAAATGGAAAATGTAACCTATGACAGTTAACGCCTGTTGGAATTAGTGTTTATAAGTGTTTATTTAGGTCTGTGTCAGTGGTCATGAAGAGCTTATGAGCAGGTGTCATGCAGCCTTATGAACACTGACCTACAGTAAAGCAAGTTAATGAAGACAAATTCAGACATAAAACATCTGGTTGTTTGGGATACGGGGTTCTGTTCAAACTGTCACTTCACATTTTACGATGAACAATGAAAACTACAGTAGTTGTTCTACTGATTGTGGATTGCAGCAGTAAACAGTGTATATAGAATATAGTTTACTTCATCCTGTAGTTGGTCCTGTCTGGGTCTCTGGCTGAGACGGAGCCGATGACTTTATTTCTAATCGGGCCCTCTTGGACGTCAAAGGTGTACTCCGTCTCGCTGAAAACCGGTGGTTCATCAACATCAAGCACAGTGATGTACACTTGGGCAGTGGTCAGCATGGATCCCTGATTATCTGGAGGCTGAGCCACGCCGTCTTCTCTGACCTCCACTTTAAAGCTGTAAGTTGAACTGGTCTCATAGTCCAGGCTCTGGAGGAAATTATGACATACATGTTAAAATATTGGACTTTCTTGGATTTACACCATGTGGTAAAGGTGATGTGTTAATATTTCATACAAGTACACAAATAAATCATTTCTTAGTTGGTGTCAGTTATCAGCTGTAATTTAATGTTGTGATTAAATACAAATTTTTAATAGCAAAGAATTGTTTTTGTGGTGACCCAGAAGTTCAGGCAAAATTATCTTGAAACTAGTTGATATATCTAATATTTCTCATTCTGAGATTAAGTAAAATTATCTCACTTTACTGGCAGATAATTTTGTTTATTTTAAGATAAGTTCATAGTCATTTAAGTCACAGTGGGACTTAATATAGTTGTTACAGGAGGGGAGCTGGAGAACCCAAGAGCAGAGCAGTAAAATTGTGTTAACTTTTGTTGTATAAAAAAATTGTTTTGTTTATAAGGCTGCAAGTATAGGCAAAAGACGTATGGAGGCTGAAAGGAATGGAGCTTTTGTGGTACACTGAGGCGTCAGCCTGTGCCAAATTCAAAACCCCAATCTGTATAATAGCAGACCAGCATTTTACCACTGCACCACTAGGGAAGTAGGAAAACAGGTGGAGAAATCTCTTCAAGAAATGGTGAAAAAATAATGGCAGGAATGGACAAATAAAGGAGACGTCGGCATGTTCAAACAAGAGGCTATAAAAACAAAGACAGCGAATACAAATCTACCCTCCCTCACGAGGAGAAACACTTTAGTTTTGTGCTTATAAGAACAGAGAACTGTGATTTACCTACAGATCAGAGCTCAGCTCAGCTTTCCTTTCTGCGTTACTTTCAGGTCTCTTTTGCTTCCAACTCATTTTTTTTTATCCTCAACAGGATTTTTTTTTTCATTTTTTATTTTCTTTTCTCAAATACAAACCTCTGTCTAAGGTACCCTCTACAGTGGTGCAACAGTGAACTGTTGCTGGTGTGGGCCTTTAAGCTGAGCCCAGGGATTCTGTGACTTGGAGTCAGATCTACCAGCTCTTCTACTGTGTTGCCCAGTCCCCTTACTGGCGACCCCTCAGGGGTAGCACCGATGTCGCCATACTTGTAGCACGGTTGCGTCAGAACTCCTGGATCACTTCTGGGTCCAAGATCGGGCGCGCTGGAACCCATGACCATTTTTGGGCCCGTATCCTTCCCAGGCCACCAGGTACTGTGTGCCCCCCTGACCCAGCGTGAGTCCAATAATGGCAAACCTTGTACGCCAGGGCACTGTCCACTAGACGCGGGGCAGAAGGGCCCAGCACCTGCTGCCAGGGCACTGCACACAAACGGCCAGAGGCATACTGGTCAGCAGCTGGGACCCCCACCTCCCTTTGTTGTTCAGCAAATAAGGGTGGAGGATACCCAAACTAGCATTCAAAGATCAACATACTCAAGGAAGAATGCCAGAGAGTGTTGTGGGTGTGCTCTGCCCACGAGGAGGCACTGTTGGCCATTAGGCAATGCAGCATCTGGGCCAGGTCTTGGTTTACCTGCTCTGTCTCGCTGTTGGACTCCAGGTGGAGGCCAAAAGCGAGGGTCATCGTGACCCCCATTAACTTAAGCGTTGCGCAAGTACAACTAGGTGACAGCAAAAGGAATGCTTTAGTGGTGAACTGAGGCATCAGCCTGTGCCAGCTTTCAGTTTATTTTCTCTTTGTCCTCAATGGGTTTTTTTGTCCCCTTTTTCTTTTCTCAAATACAAACTTCTGTCTAATGTACCCTCTACAAAGGCGTGACAGTGAACTGTTGCTGGTGTGGGCTTTTAAGCTGAGCCCTGCAGGTGTGCCTGGTCAGTGCGGATTAGCACTGGGGATTCTGGGACTTGGAGTTCTTTGAACCAGATCCACCAGCTCTTCTACTGTGCCGTCCCCTGCTGGATCCTGGTGGCACAGGCTGACCCCTTACAATAATTGCTTAAAATGGGTAACATTTTAAAATAAGTTTATCTTAAAATAAATAATCATTTATGTTAGGAAGCTTCAGTCAACAGAGACATGATGAAAACTCAAATTTCACATGCAGAATGAACTTTTAGTATCTTAAAAGTTGCTGTTTATCTTTCAGAGATATCAGTATTGCTTAATAAAAATGTCAAAATAATGTCATTTTAAAAGGAATAATGTGGTTGCCGACATCTACACCACTAGGGGGCAGTACAGAAGCTGCATGACAACATCTATGAAATTTTTAGGCAACAAGGCATCAGGCTATGTTTTGGGACACCTCGTTTCTATTATAGACTACAGCGCCCTCTAAAATGATTAGAACTAACTCACTTAATTGCATGTTTAAATAATCTGAGTGAGGTTTTAGTCTGTAATTCTGTCATTTTTAAATGAGTAAAGTCACCTTTATGAGTTTGAGAGCTCCATTGTTTTGGTCATCCAGTTCCACGTAGAACATGTCATTAAAGTTCTGCAGAGTAAATCTGGGTTTTTTGTTCTGCTTCTTGTCCCGGTCCACCACAGGTAACGTGCCGACTGTGAAGTGTGGCTCCTCGTTTTCTTTCACGCTAAAGCTGTAGATTCCTGAAAGGAAACAAGTTGTGGATCTTTTTGGATCATTTGAGTAACGAAATTTAAAGAAAATGTAAATTTCATGTTTTTGGTGCATTCAGACATCTTAGGAAAACTGTCGCGTTACCAAATCGCTGTGATCAGTTGTTTGTGTTTGAGTGACGGTCAGTAACTGGTTCAGGGACGTGTCGCACACTGCAGTACAGATGTGTATTGTTGGTTGCTAAGCGATAGAGCCCACCTGTTCTACAGGTAGTCATTTACATACATTATGATACAGTGTTGCAGAAATTAACGTATCATTAATGTATTTACCATTAACATAATTGTAAATGATCCGACCTGTGATATGAGAACCTGTGTAACTTTTTTTTTCTTGGCCGAGTGAAAAAAACAAAAATGTTGTAGTCAAACACAATCTAGCTCATCAATTACTTCGTTAGGAAAATGTGAACATCTTAATTTTGTAATTTAATTTTCAATATATTTAGATTTAGTAAGTTTCAGGTGAGATTCTGCAAGGAGCCAAATATCCGAATACACCATTATAAGAGCTCACATACCTTTTTTGAAGGTTGCCATGTTGTCATTGATATCGTTTATATTAATGGTCACTATGGTGGTTGTACTGAGTCCTCCAGGTGAGCCAGGTAAGTCTGAGGCCTGGACAATCAGTTTATACTGACTTTGAGTCTCACGGTCCAGTTTATTATCCTGAACAGTGATTTCACCTAAAACAAGAACAATGTGGATCCTGCTGAGGAAACATGTACGCACATTTTATGTATATATATATATATATATATATATATATATATATATATATATATATGGCAGGTTGCACTGATAAAGGTTGCATTGACTTTCATTCATCAAGGTTTTGTTCTGACAGCAGCACTGATGCTTCAATGGCCACAAAATGTTTGTTTTATCAGCTGTTCTTCTGTAAAGTCTCTGTTCTAGTGTGGTTCTCTTCCTCACATTAACTGAGATCTTCCTCGTCTCCTCTTCTGTCTTCAGTGTGAGAAACGAGGAACAGTCACTCTTCACTCCAAACTCTGGGTGAGTTTTCAGATTTACAGATCTGCTGCAGCTCATTGTAAAGTTTTTCAGAGGAATCCGGGCAGAGTTACAGTTTCTAGACTACGAATGATCAACTGGGTGAACCAGTCTGCTACAGCGCCACCCTGAGGCAGAGCAGTGCTGCAGCTCTACTTAGTAAGAACACCAAAGACAGAAGCTGATTGTGGGTGAAGCAGATGAACAATGAATTTGTATTTGAGTCTGTTTTTCCCAAACAGACATAACTTCATAATAAGTTTATTTTCAGGGCCCCCCAGAATTTTGATTTTGAAATATCCAAGAGGTTAATAATGGGGTCTCTGACACCCCAGGACTGTATTTTGCACCTTGTATGTAAACACACTTTACACAGAAATATATTAACATAAAATATATTGACTACATACAGAAAGAGAGAAAATCAGTGCATGTTATGTTAATATATTTCTGGACAGTTTTACTTGGGTTAAATCATTTTTATGCTGTGGAATATTCTTATTCTGTCGGCAAAGTTACCTGCCAATTCAGTAAGAACATTTCAGTAGATAAAATGACAAACAATCAAAACTTTGCAAAAATAGGTTGAATAATCTTGGCTTGAAAAAATGTAGGTTCAAAAAATCTTTCTGAAAATCATTCTGAAAAATCCCATGGTTAGAAATATTAAGTTATATTGATTTAGGTATCACTTTCTGCTGTATATTTATGTCAGGGCCATTTCTATTGGTGTGAAAATATAAAAAAATGTAATTTTGTATTTGTACCTGTGTTTCTGTCAATGCTGAAATATTGTGATCCATTCAACAACTTATATGCGACGTTTCCGTTGGGAGTTGTTGGATCATCTGCATCAGTGGCTCTAACAGTCAGCACTGCAGCTCCTGTAAAAATATCACATTTGCATTGTTATTCCTGTAAATGCAGTATGTAAAAATGTAATCGATAGACTGAATAACTGAGGGGGCATCAGATGAAGACCCTCCTGATGATGCTGCTGCTGCACAGACTCAACCTATTTAATCAGAGCCATTGCTTCACCTATTTTTCCCCTTTTCTGTTCTGGCAGCAGTTAAGATCTTTAATAACAATAGGACGATCCAAAATCAGACAAAAGGGTGAGGCAGAAATCAAGGTCAAAACAGATAAACAGGTCATACACAGGAAAAGACAAAAGGCAAGGAGAGGAGAGACCGCTCAGTGTGCTCATAATGAGACGATACTTCACAACAACCTGAACTGAAGCCCGGGCTTATATACTAAACAAACACGGGTAGGTGTGTGTGTGTAGCCAGTAGCCTGGTGAAGCTGAGCTTCACCATCTGATAGGATGATCTGATGAGTCCTGAGTCACGTGAGGCAGCAAGGGGTTCTGGGAGTTGTGGTCTGAGGCGGCAGCTTTGGCTGTAGTTCCAGCCGTGCCAGAGGGAGGCGTAACACTTTGTACATTTTAGTGCACGATTTCTATTTTTTTTTAAGAGTTTTATTTCTGAGTTTGTTAATACAAAATGACAAATGTTAGAAAGACACATTCATTAAATATATACATATATATATACACACACATATATACATGTGTATGTGTATATATATATATATATATATATATATATATATATATATATCACGTACATATAACATAAATGACAAATAATAATTAAATAAATAAATACGTGAAGTCATACAGTCAACAAGGGCTTAACACAATACAATTTTCCAAATTACTAAAGTAAATTATGGGATTTAGGAGGGAACCACAACACAACAATGCTCTACCAGAGTTTGTTTCTGACTCACAACTTTACTACGCCGTAAAATTAGCAGCGCTTAAAGCCTCCACATAACTAAGGGAAGGTTGCCATGTCGATGTGAACTTATCAGCTGACCCCTTAACCATGTATCTAAACTTCTCCAGCTTAATAAAATACAATATATCTCTAATCCATTGTGCAAATGTTGGGGGTGGCTGTCTTTCCATCCAACCAGAATTTGTCGTCTAGCCACCAGTGTGGCAAAAAATAAGACATAATTTATTGCTATTTAAAATAAGATTTTGTGACACCACACCAAACAAAGCCAGGGAGGCTGAAGGTTCAAAGGATTCATCAATAATATTGATTTCTATTTTTTGCAGAGATTAATATATAGGAAAAACTAAATCATAAAATAGAATTCCTGCATGTTAAATTCAGTAAATAGATAAACAAGTAATTGTGCTTTAACATGCAGACATGTGTTCTCTGTTAGAGGCTTCAGTGAAGAAGAAGAAGAAGAAGAAGAAGATGCGGGAAACGCTGCACTTTAGGCAAATGCTCTTTATTCCAGAACACAGCAGCAGGGGAGAACCGCCGCTCAGCGTTGTTTAAGCCAGGACACCAATCGCCATACCATGTACTTCATGGTTGGCACACAAACCCCACTGTCTCACTCTCAGCCCAGCCCAGAAACACAGATGTACACATTAAATCGAGCTCCACAATGTATTTACAGATACAAGTCTCCTGTACTGTAGCCACAGAGTCTCTGTGCGTGGCTGCTCTGCTATGGCTGCGTGACCCAGTAGGGGCGCTACATAGGAACATGAAGCCGTTAGCAGACTGAAAACACCTTCAGTGAGATTTAGTGAGATGGTCCTGTACCTTGGTGTGAGCGCTCCCTGATGGATCCAGTGTAGGTCTCAGAGAAGACTGGCACGTGGTCGTTAACGTCTTGTACATCTATAGTGAATTCTATGTCATCCTCCAGGGGCTGTTTGGTGATGGTGTCAATGATGTGAGCTTTCAGTTTGTAGGAGCTTTTCTTCTCTCGATCCAGAGTGGCCATAACCAAGATCGCTCCAGCCTTATTCACAGTAAAGAGGTCATTCACTCCATCCACTCCTTCTCCAGAGATTTTAAACTGAGTATTGGCGCCTGTATGGGTGTTTAGATAGCTGGAAAAGATAAAAGTTTAAGCAACATATGAATTAGAATATTAAGAAATATTTTGTTTAAGCCAGTCAGTTACACAGCCTATAGACACTGCTGTGAGAATATTATAAGTTTATTTGACCTATTTTTCAGAGTTGTTTGCTCATTTTAAGAAATTTTATATAGCTAAATTTTCTTATTGCACTGGCAGATAATTTTGCTTGTTTCTTTAACCTCTTATTTTCCAGAGTATATTTTGGTTTGTCCATCTGAATTGTCATGACCAAATCATAAGGCAAATTATTCAGTAACTGCATGAAATAAATTATTTTATTTATTTATTTTTTGTAAAAGCTCCCCTTAAATTAACAAAAAATGTGTTTTATGATCATACACATATTGCTATATGCTTACAATTTACTGCTGAACGCCAAAAATCTTAGACACTCTTTGTATTATTTTATAAAAATAATTTTTACAGAGCAGATCACTGAAGAGACGCCATCTGTTTATAGTTTATAGCCCAGATTTGTGGAAAAATGGGTCGACTTTCAATAGAAAAAAAATTGTGAGTTCAGCTTCTTTTATTATAAGGGTTTAAAATTACATCACCCATCAATTTGACTGGAAAGAAGACAGTTACAGCTCTCATACGACCCCCACCTTTAGAATGTAGCTCATGAAATATGAACGTTATGAAGAATATGACGAAGTGCGTTTTGGAACCGCCGGTGGTTCCAAGGAGCTTATGAGGCTACATAAGTGAAATGATCTTAAAATTTCCTGAAACAGCACAATTTTCTACCAATATAATACAATCTGTTTATTTAATAAAATCAAAAACTTAGATTGACATCTTTTTGCAAATAGTCCTCATCTGTGACAGTTGCCATAGTTTTAACTCATCTTTCATGTTAATAATATAACAACTCCTATGTTGATACACGGAGTCTCATGAGTGAATGGTTATTCTACAGTTACCAATGAACTTAAACTGAAATTAGTTAATAATTAATAGGAAAGGTGCAGTGCCTTTCTCCTGCGGTCATGAGAATCCTTAGTTCTATGGACATTTTTGTGCTCCCCCCATCTAGCACACCTGATTCAACTCAACTGCTAATTTACAAGGTGTGTCAGATTAAGGAAGCTACAACACTATGCAGAGTCCATTCTCTATTCATTATAAAGAAAGCAATGATAACTGATTATTCATGATGAATTTATAATGTTTGTTCCCCCTAAAATAAAGTGATGAACCAGTCACACTTTATCACTGACTAAAATAATACTGATTAAAAGCTAAAAAATTGCACGGGTTAATCCTTACCTAGAATGACAGTCATTCTTTTTTCACCGAACAGTGAAAAAGCTGAAGATCGAGTTCTCAGCTTTACTGAAAAGCTCAGAACAGAGTACAAAAGAAAACAATATAGCGTTCAGCTATGCGCAGTTAGCACAACCTCTTGCTGTCCTGGCTCAGTCTGTTTACTACTAGGCCCTGCGACACACTGCCACCACACACACACAGCCCTTTAGAATAAAAGTCCCTGTAAAAGGCAGAATAACAAATTAACCAAACAGCCTAAAATCAACACGTACACCTTTCTAATTTTTAACCAGACAGAATAGACGTGCCTGACATCACATATTAATAGAATCACACAATGTTCATGAGAAACACAAACCTAACTGGAACATTACTACTCTTAAAATCAAAAAGGTTTACTGTAAATAAATAACGTTAAGCACCAAACCAAATGTTTCATATAGCTACTTCACATCAAATTCAGTAATAACAGCATCTGCAGATCTGTTCTGTTTCACCACAGATAACAGCTGCATGTTTTATGTTAGTCTAAAAAGATGTGAGGTATGAAAATACTGTTGTGACCAAGAGCTGTCCCTTCTGCCCGAGTCTAGACATATATGAATATCTCTAATATGTTCTATGTTGTTGCCCTCATGACTATCTGTAGTCTAACTTCTTTAAAAAGAATTAAAGGAATAAAAGAATATCAACAAAAAGTAAAAAAGGATAAAACAGAATAAAAAAGGAATAAGAAGAATAAAAAGACTTCAGCCGCTGAGTTCTTGTTGAGCTTTAAGTGGCAAGATGGTTCCCGAACAACTACAATGCAAATATCATCTCGCGGTGTCCTTTTTTATGGCCCTTTAGGGTGATGAAGTAATTACCCCACCCCTTTTTACACAACATACCAGCTTAGTCCCCACTGTATCCAAACCCTGCACCCTTTTTGGTATAAATTGCATGAATAAGATGTTGAAGAAAGCCTTTATTACCTTCATATTCATCATTAGTAAATGCATTAGTAATTTAATTGTATGGTTGTTAATATGACAGGTCATGTACCCTTAATGTAAAGCGTTACCCTTACATCAACATCATAATGAAAAACGGTTCTATTAACTACATTTTAGATGATTTCTCTGGTCAAGACAGAATTATTCGCTGTGTAATTTTGTTCCTTTAGAAGCTCTTACCTGTCCAATTTGCTGTGGAAGAATTTGGGGTGGTACTTCCTCAAAAGCAAGCAATATGTTAAACCTCCATTCTCGCTTTTGTCTGTGAAGAACCGGACTGTGCTGGACAACATCTTCAGCCGCACTGAGGATGAACTGCAGGCCCAGGAAACCTGCCCAAAGTAAAGTCCAGGCCATCTGCCTCCAGACAGGGTGGATCATCCTCTGGAGAAGAAAACCACAGAGCAATTACTGATCACTCTAAACCAGACAGTGAGGGAGGCTGACCAGGCCAGTGACCCTGTAGACTTTAAGAAGAGAAAAAAGTTTTTTTCCACAACCTTCTGTTGGTGATGATCTCTCTGAAGGTCTGAGAAGTTCTAATGCATGCTTTTATCTTTTATGACATCAGTTTTGTCATTAAAGGCTTTGGCTACAAAACCTTTCTGAAAGCTCTCGGTTTCCTTTGCTGTAGTTGCTCCTACTGAGTTTAACCAGAGAAAGAAAAACCTAAAAAAGATCTCCTTGTTAGCTGTGTAGGTTCTTCTGGAGAATCACAAGAAAGCAGAAGTTTCTCCTGCTGCTCAGATGTCTCTCCGGCTCAGTAACTTCACGTTTCTCAGTAAAGCCTCTCATTGAACTCAGATTTGAAGATCGCGCTGAGTGATGGGGGGAGAAGGAGGGGCCATCCTACCCACCCAGAGAGAGCGAGGCCAATTGTGCTCTCTCGGACTCCCGGCTACGGACGGCTGTAGCATCACCAGGGATCAAACTCGCGATCTCCTGATGATAGGGCCAACGCTTAGACGGTTGCGCCACTCGGGAGCCCTTATTATTATCGTTTAATAATGGGTTTTCAGTAGATTTAGTGCTAAGATAGATCAGTGTATCATCCGCACAGCAGTGAAAGTTCAGCTTAAAGCTACAATCTATGTGACCAAGAGGAAGCATGTACACAATAAACAAAAGAGGTCCAAGGACTGAGCCTTAAGGAACTCCCTAAGTAATAGCAGATGTTTGGGAAGTATGTCCACTGAGAGTAACAAAGTGCTTTCTATCGGTCAGATATGATGTAAACCAATCCAGGGTGGTGCCCATAATGCCCAGATCATGCAGCCTTGATAGGAGGATTAAATGACCCACTGCGCTCAAATCAAGTAGCAGCAAGATGCTAAGAGCACCAGCATTTGCAAACATGAGGAGGTCATTGGTGACCTTTATTAAGGCAGTTTCTGTGCTATGGGAGGGATGGAATCCAGACTGATAGGTAGGACTGGAGTTGGCTGGCCACGGTTTGTTCAAGCACTTTGGACAGGAAAGGGATGTAAGAGATGGGCTGATAATTACTGAGATCTAATGGATCAAGACCAGGCTTTTAAATTGCAGGCATGATAGCAGCAGTCTTGTAAAGAGAGGGTACCTGTCCATGAGATTTGTGAGATGTGGGACCAGTGCAGAAAGACAAGTTTAGTTAGGTTGTTGGACGGGAGTCAAGAGAACAGGCTGTAGTTTTAGAAGTAATTATGATATCAGCAATGGAGGACAGAGAGTGGACAGTCAGAGAGGAAAGGGAAGAGGTACTATTAGTAGAGGCTAGCAGTGAACTGTTGAGTCTAGCAAGGGGGTTTAAACAATTTGGTGATGGTTGAGAAAAAATTATGGGAGTTTATATTAGCATCATTAGTGAGACCAGACACTTAGGCTGATTTAGCTGCATCCAAGGCATCTCTGTAAGCTGAAAGGTGTTGTTTGTAAGCTTCTGCATGAACAGAGAGCTTAGTTTTCCTGAAAAGCCTTTCCAGTTGGCCACCAATTTGCTTTATGGTTCGAAGTTCACTGGTATACCAGAGCACGGAAGTGAAGAAGTTAACAGTTTTAGTTTTTCAAGTTTTCTAGTGAAATGAGTGCAGTAAGCATTGTAGCATGATCATCAAGAGATGAGGGAGCAGAAACAGCAGAGAGCAGAATCATCAGAGAGCAGAATCAGGGAGCAGATTTTGACCAATTATTGAGTTTATTTTCTCTTAAAAGTAAAAAGTTTAGCTTTCAATGATGAAAACGAACAAAGTGAAACAGACAAAGACCATTAAAAACAAACAATTAATGAACGGTCAGTGGTTTTGGTCAGTGGTTTTGGTCACTGATTGTACTTTTTCTCACAGCGTTTGCTGCTTCAGTCTCAGTAAAAGAGAAGAATTAAGTGATTAATGAAGGTAAAGACTCTCCTACCTGACGAAGCTCCTCCAGCTGAGCTGGTTTCTGTTTTAATCCAGAGAGAAAAATATCAGTCAGTTTAAACTCCAGCTGCTCTACCAGCTCAGCACAGCTCAGCTCAGCATGAACCTGCACGAGCTCTGAGTCCAGTTCAGTGCAGCGGGCAGCAAAATGAGCCACTCCTCTGGACACTTCCTGTTATTATATGACTCACTGTTATCTACAAACATGGACTAAAGTACGTTAGCGAAAAAGAACAGCAGTAACGATCTTGGTAGAAAAGTATTGTAGGTATGGATGGATGGATGGACAGACAGACGGTTGGACATATGTACAGATAGATGGACTGAGGTATGATAAACAGACACATGTGTCAGAGACTCTCAGTGCTGGGCTCGGCTGATCAGGCTGGAGTGAGTCAGTTTAGTGGGATCAGTTTAAAACTGGTCTGTGGAGAAGCCTCAACTGCAGCTAGTGCCAAATGATCCGGCCTATCAGGATTCAGAACTACAGCATCATAACTCCTGACCCCTGATCAGTTTGAGGTGTTTGAACAGAGAGTGTGAGGTGAGGAAGGCAGCTACTGAGGTATATAAAAAGAGGGAGCATAAAAAACTGATATTAAACAAATTAAATCAGAAAACAAAATGTAATTTGAGTTCAAACTTTTGCATATGGCTGTATAAATATGCCAGGAATGAACAGTATTTGAAAATAGTAAAATAATTCTACATTCTGCACATTCAGTTCCACAAAGTTTTGTTTAGCCAACTTAAATTCAAATGCTGTGCAATCTTGGTGTCCAAAGAGCTTCATTCATTATTGGAACATTTATTATTGGAACAAGTCCAGGTTAAAATATTTCTTTTTTGTGTCTATAAATGAGCACTAAGATTTAATCTCACTGTTACTCTCAGTGTATATATACACAACCCCATTTCCAAAAAAGTTAGGACACACACAAAATGTAAATAAAAACAAAATGCAATGATGTGCAAATCATTTAAAGCATATATTTCATTGAAAATAATACAAAGACAACATATCAAATGTTGAAATTGAGAAATTTTATTGTTTATTAAAAAACATTTGCCCATTTTGAATTTGATGCCAACAACACATTCCAAAAAAGTTGGGACGGGGGGGACAGATGTCTGGTAAAGTTGTGTAATGCTAAAAAAACACCTGGTGGTTGATTTGCAACAGGTCAGTAACATGATTGGGTCTAAAAGAGCATCTCAGAGAGGCGGAGTCTTTCAGAAGTAAAGATGAGGAGGGGTTCGTCACTCTGTGAAAGAATGCATGATCAAATGCAGCAACAATTCAAGAATAATATTTCTCAACGTAAAATAGCAAAGAACTTTTGCTTTGCATCATCTATGGTACATAATAACATTAAAATATTCAGAGAATCTGGAGAAATCTCTGTATGTAAGGGACAAGGCCAAAAACCAGTATTTGCTGGCCGTGATCTTTGGGCCCTCAGGCGGCACTGCATTAAAAACAGACATGATTCTGTAGTGGAAATCACTGCATGGGCTCAGAAACACTTCTGAAAAACCTTGTCTGTTAAAACAGTTTGTCGCTGCATCCACAAATGCAAATTAAAACTCTAAAACACAAAGAAGAAATCATATATAAACAGGACCCAGAAACGCTGCCACCTTCTCTGGGCCCGAGCTCATTTAAAATGGACTGAGGGGAAGTGGAAAAGTGTGCTGTGGTCCGAAAAAATCAACATTTGGGACACTCTTTGTTTGTACAAAAAGACCACTCATATATATATATATATATATAATTATTTTGCTGTTTGTGTTCTGGTCTATCTTGAATGAACAATGGCTAGTCACAGCAAAATGTTCTTTATAAATAAAATAAAAGCATAGGTGTTTTCTGGCCCACAGATTTGTTGAGATTTTTTAATATGGCCCTTGAAGTGGTTGAGTTTGACACCCCTGATTTTTTGCATTTAAATCTTAAGTTTCCTTTATATAGATTCTGCGTGTGGTTGCTTCTATATAATTAGCGTGTGTGTGTTGAGTGTGTGTGTGTGTGTGTGTGTTGAGTGTGTGACTCTGTGAATGTGAGCAGCGCAGTGCGAGCGCCGGAAGCTCTGTAAACTCAGCCAACAATCTGTCCAGTCATCTAATCATGTTGATGTGAAAGTGATAGATAAAGATCTCCGTGCTGAAGAAAAGAAGCTCACTTAAACAGAGCAGACTCAGTTTACACTCACAAACAGCTCTGTAAAATATACACTTTAATCAGTGTGATCAGAAGAACTGTATGCCATTTAAAGTCACACTGGTGACTAATCCTAGTGAAATTATCTGTTTTTTGCAGCAAGATCATTTTACTGGACAAGAGATCTTACAATAAGTTCCAGGCTGGAAATAAGCAGCTCAGATACGAGTTCAAAGAAAATGATGGTCTTTAGATCAGACTCGCTACAGAATCAGAATCAAGCTAGATAACAATCCAGAAAATTACAGCCACAGCTCATGGCCTCTGCAGACATTCGTACAAAGCAGCTTTACAGAAAAATCCTGGTCTGAGCTCCCATGAGTGGCAAGAACCAACTTGTTACAGAGGATGGAATGGAATGAGTGTACATATACTAAATATTTAGGACATGCAGTGGGAATAATATGCTATATTTTAATAGTTTGTTTGTTACTTATCTAAAAAGGGATAAGCTAAAAGACAAAAGCAAACTAACTTACATATAGTTGGCTGTTTTGTAGGTGTTCACCCCTACTTTTAAAATAGAGTTACATTATTCATTAAAAAGTAACATGAAGTAAAGGCTACAGTAAACTACACAGAAGAATTGGGTTTGGTCTGTTCTGGTCTGGTTTGGTCTGGTCTGGTCAGCGGGAGGGCAGATGACCAAAGCAGCCTACAACCATCTTGTTTTACTCTGGCTGGGGCGCACCCTGCTGCAACTCCAAGCTCTGGTCCTGGTAGAAGGAGAGGTGGAACAAGAGAGAGAGAGACGTGAGAGCAGGACAACAAAATAACACCCTAAGGGTCATAAAGTATGGATAAAACATTCACAGAGTTCATTAATAAAATGACTGATCACTGCTGAAAAACTGGTGTAATGCAGAATACACACACACACACACACACACATATATATATAAACAAGACAGTAGCCTACAAATTAAGATAAAACAATGTATGAATGTATCTGTATGTATAAAATCAAATCTGACAGCATTCTTAAAAATTGCTGAATGAAAAGCAGGAGTAGGATTAATTAAATGGAAGATGGCATATAAACTTATTTACCTTATGTTTACACCAAATGTTGTAGTCAAGATCAGTAGAGATGATAATAGAGAGACCAAGATGAGGCTGAGTCCAAATGATCTCTAGACAGAGATGAGACCAAAACCATATGATGATGAGACAGAGACCAGGCCAAGACCAAATGATATTGAGTCAGAGTCCAAATGATTGCAAGACAAGACAAGACTGAGAGCAAATTATATTAAGATAGAGACAAAGCCAAGTCCAAATGCTCTTGAGACAGAGACAAGACCAAAATCAAATGATGACGAGACTGAGATGAGATAAAGTCCAAATGATGTACAAACTGAGATGTGACCAAGACCAAATGATGATGAGACCAAGACGAGACCGGGTCCAAATAATGCCAAGACCAAGACGAGACCGGGTCCAAATGATGTCGAGACAGAGACAAGGCCAAGACCAAATTATATCAAGACAAAGACAAGACAAAGTTGAGACCAAGTCCAAACGATGGCAAGAGAGAGATAAGTCCAAATGATATCGAGATCAAGACCAGAATGAGTTCAATTGATGAGGAGACCAAGTCCAAATGATGGCGAGACCAGGATGAGACCACTAATTGCCACACTCTACATCAGGGATGCAGGAAGGTGTTTTAAGTTGGACTGCTAAAATTTTAAGCAGTGTATACATAATGTGAACGATGACATCATTTTTACATCAAACAGAAAGTATTCTGCACTATAATGGGGCGAAAACAATAATACATACATTTAACTCACATCAGACTGCTGATGTTCCCATCCTCTCTCTGCTCTCTCATTCTGCTTCAACTTTATGCAAACGAGCTGAGAGGCAACCAATCAGATTGTTGATAGGTGGTGCGGCAACCATGTGGTAAGATTTAACACTAGAAAGCACACTGAGTGGGAGATACGGTTGATAAAACATTGTTATTATTATTATTACTACATTATATGATCATCCTTCCACTGTGAGAAGACGACTCAGCGCTGTGGGTCTGAAAGGATGTGTAGCTGTCAAGAAGAACCTCACTGAGAAAAGGAGATGGACACATCAAACAAAGAAGCTGAACAATGGACTGACCACCCCAGAGTCCAGACCTCAACACCACTGAATGTGTTTGATTACTTCAGAAAATGATCAACCAGCTTCTAAGACAGAACTTTGGAGGTGTGGAGACTCTTACTAAGGAGAGTCTCGGCTGGATCTGTGTGCAGGTTGATGTAATTCTGAAGAGTCTGGCGGCCGCAGCTGCCCTGCATGCTTCCACAGCCTGCAGCTCTGAATGATGCACGATCTCTAAATCATCTCATATAATTTACATGCTCACCTTCTCAACAGAGTCAGAAAACTGGGCTCAGTTCAGCATCAAAACAGACCTTCAGAAAAAAATACAGCTGAAAAGATCAGTCTATGGAGAGAGAGAGAGAGAGAGAGAGAGAGAAAGAATAGACAAAATGAGGAGGAACAACAAATGAAAGAAGTAAAGAATGTCAGAGAGAAAAAAGAGGGCAAAAAGAATGGAGAGAAACAGATTGAGAGAGATTGGGTGAGACAAAGAGAGGGAGGAGAGAGAAAGACAGAAATATAAGTAGACAGCTACAGAGCGAGAGGAAAATATAAAAAAGAGAAACAAAGAAGGGAGACGAGGATGTGTAGTGAACACAAAACACACATGCATTTTTATTTTGAAGCTAAGCCTTTATATTATGGTCTGTCCATGAGCGTGTAACTTATCAGCGGCCTTCGTGGGCGGGGCTTAGAGCGCCGCTGTGCCAGAGGCTAAAGATGTGAATGCTGTTCCATTTTTCAACATGTCATTTGTCTGGGGGTGTTCAAATAGCATATAGTAGCTTATAATTGCATGTCTGGCCTGGTGAGCTTTTGGTATTTGATGTTCA